CGCGGCGGCTCCCCACCCCGGATTGTGTAGATTTTGTTGAATAATAAAAAAAAAAAAAAGTAATGTAAAGATCCCTTTTCACGCCTTAGGCGCATCGGCTATATGGGAAAAGCGTCCTATATTTTTACAGACCAATCGGCACTGGATGGGTAATGTGGTCAGCATTACGCCGGCCATCTTTACTTCCCCAGGACAGCCATCCTGGTATCCATTTTAGGCTGGGTTGACCTGCGGCGCCCCATACCATGATAAAAATCCACGCAGCCAGCAGTGGGTTTCGATCGCCGTACGTTGGATTACGAGTCGGACTCGCAACGCCTAAGCCACGGACGCCGCTGAAGAATAATAACCTCTTTAAAGGCAACACGCTCAGAGTTATATAGAAGTTCTTTCCCCTATTCGGCGCCAGCCAGTAATTCCTTCTGCAAAAATAAGGTCATGATGTTGGCAAACATTCTCCAATTTAGATAACCGGTTATGGTACAACTTTGCACGTCAAAACATTTGGGGAAAAAAAGGGTGGGGGGGGGGAGTGGGAAGAGACCAATTAGAATTGCTAATTTAAATTCATCATCATCATGTAGCAGGTCGTTTGCAGAACGTCACTCTTCTCGTCACGGTCTGTCTAAACAAAACTCAGTCTCTCAACAGCTCTCCTGCCTCGTGACTTACATATTCAAGGAGTCTATCTGCGCCCATCTTCGTGTTGATCAGCCCTGTCATTCCATCCTTGTATCAAGCCTTCTGCTACTGTTTTGTTTCCAATCCACCATAGCACTTGATATGACAATTCTGAGACAAGGTGCTGTTTATTAGCCAATATTTCTTAGATGTTCAGATCTTTTAAAATGTCATTATTTCTTCTCTTCTTTGTCCATAGTATTCTGAGAATCTTTCTATAACACTTCAGCCTGGAGAGAATGAGCCATCTGGGTGTAACCAGAGGGGCTGTCTGGCTCACCAAACTCAGAGGAAAGGTGATGGACATATAACCAGATTGTGACCGGTACCATCAGAAATGGAACTCTGCGCTGGCTGCTGACGATGAGGATGAAGCATACATGGGAATGCCCCCGAGTGCTGTGTTGTCGATTCCTGACTCAACTCAACTCCTTTAGCTCAAAAGCAGCTATTTTATTTTTTAAGGACTGGGAGATAGTCCACAACTCACATCCATATGTTGCTAAAGCAGAGATGTAAGCTCTGAAAATTTTAACTTTGATTTCCTTGCTGGTACCTAAATTCTTGTTATCAAAAATACTGTTGAGAATAATTTCAGGCACTTTATTATTTAGTTACCCCAAATAGGGGGAATCCAGGGAAAATCCACAGCTGACTGGACAATTGACCATTTAAAAGGATGCAAGTGTGCTGTTGTGTGGTCTTCTTGTTTATTGGTGTGGTATTTTTCTGTCTGTTGGTGTGCAATTAGCTAGTGTACAATACTGGCCATGTTTCATTATTTGACTGTCCTGTGATGTCATATGGGGTAAGCAAAAAATATAGTACCTAATTTCAAGACTTGAAAGTCTAAAACATTCAGCACAATAATGTAACAAGCAGTAAGGCATTGTGAGCTAACTGCCTAAACACTTTCCTGCTGGCAATATTATTTCCCATGAATGAGACACTAGAACAGAAAATAATTACCTGTAAAATGTGCTTTCTCCGCAAGATCACTAACAACACAAGAAGAAACAGGGTTATGTATACCAGCATCAGAGAGAAAGTTGGAAAAAGACTGTCTGGATTATACTGACAAAGAATAAAATGGTTTGGCTATCCAGTGAGAATGCAGACCAAACTGCATATGAGACTTTTATCTGGGAGGAAGGCGAGCGGAAGTCCAAGAAAGAGATGGACAAATGGTGTAGAAGAAACCTGCAAAAAGATTAACAAATCCATAACCCAAGCCACCAGAGAAGCGCAAGACAAATTCAGAAAACCACAACACTGGGCTACAACCTGGTGTCAGTGAGATGACAAAAGAAGAATAAGAATATTATTTCCCACCTCCAAACTGAACTGCAAGTTACTTTGCAATCATAAAGAATTAAATGAGGGTTTTCCCCTGTGTGGGTTCCAGGGCCCTATTATAGGGAAAACAAGAACAGACCAACTGCCTACCCAAAAGCATGTCGTAAGAGTCAACTAATTGGGAGCTTCCTTCAAAGTCGGAGTGCATTTGCCTGAGAAGTAATTAACCAATAGTCTGCATACAAATTAGTCAGATCTGTCAAACGGATGCACACGCAACATTCAAGTTCTGGAACAGGACTGGATACAGACAATGACATGACCTAGCTTTTCCTGCTGATCTGAGTCTGCACTCAGGCAGATGTATGTATTCTTCTTCTTCATTATTTTTACCAGCTGTAAACTCCGGTGGAAAGCACTCGGTGTTCGTTATTCCAGAACCTGAGTGCTGCATGCACAGCCATTTAAAAAATCTGGCTTATTTGTATGCAGACTGCCGGTTTGATGCCTCTCAGGCTGTTGTATTTCGACTCCAAAAAAAAAGCCCGCTAATTAGCTGATTCGTACGACATGCTTTCTGGGCAGGCAGTGGGTCTATTCTTGTTTTCTATACAATGAGGACCTGGAACTCACATGGGGAAACTTCCTCACTGGTCTACCGATATTTAAGTTGTTCTCGTAATATTGACCATTTATTTAGAGTTTCTGTTTAGTTTCATACAGCTCTGAGTATGACATGATATCTCGGGTCAATATTCCCTTGACGGTCTGTACAAGAAAATGACATAATATCTCATTGGGTCAATATTCCCTTCTTAACGGTCTGTACAAGAAACAGTTTTGTGGTTTGTACATGCAGCCAGCATGGGCCCAATGGTGAAATACCCAGAGCCTGTGCAACAGCTAGTTAACTGTGTGTATGTCTGTCCATGCTCGGAAAGTAAGTAGTAGTCATTAATGGCTTTGATTCTGTTCACTTCTGATAGACTGGATGACCCTTTTTTCTTCTCAATGTTAGTTAGATTATCCTCATTGTCACTGAACCATTCAGTCCACAAGTCCTGTGAATACCTCCTCAGTAAATCCTGCAGTGTCGAGCGATTGACGATACCAGTCCTTTGTTGATTTCTTATTCTTCTTTGGCTTACAACATAGTTCTCTTATCTGGCCATTTTCAACATGTTGTTCTTGCAGTCTGATCATTGTCACAGATTCACAGTCATCACTTCTCAATATATGTGATGTCTTTGTCTTCCTGTTCACACCTCCCTTCCCTTTTAGATATTTATCCACAGTTTCATTTTGTTGCTCAGATGCAGGATTTCTCCTGAAAATAAATACCAGCTTGTCAATAGTCAGGCTGATAAAATCTCACATTAAAAACACAAAATCAACACAAAATATTCATAAATTTATTTAAATATCTGACTAATAATAAGTACTATTGTAAAGAGTTAAATATTTTGAGAATTTATACGTTAACTAAATATAAACCTCAAATAATCAAATAAACATTATCTTGGCAACAATACAAAAATATGTCGAGCACAGAAACACACAATGTATAATACTAATACCTGCAAATAAACCTATCTGGTATATGCAGTCAAAATGAACAGAAATGCTTTAATTACCTGGCAGTGATTATGGGAATTTCCCTGGAATGTATGTAACAAACACAGCAGGGTTTTCCATTCTGTTATGTCTGCCACAATGAAAATTCAACACTGGCATATAATCATAGCTTTCTAAAGACTGCTGGTAGTAATAGTAATTCAAACAACCATATCCTGTTTAACCCATCTGGGTTCAAATGAGGTATAAAAATTGTTTTTTTTTTCTTCTGTTTCAATACTGGCTTATTTACAATTCCATTTTGTTAAATTGTCCATCAAATTCTCTCCCCAAGACTCACTTTATCACCTCTAGAGTGGGACAGTGTATCATATTAAGACAAAAGTTAAGTTTTATGGTACTGGTACAGAACACACATAAATGTGTTTCTGCAACTTCGCCTCTGAAAATGTTGAGCTTGTACTATAACATTGTAAACTTTATGGTGCCAACAAAATAGCAGCCTGGCCTGTTCCAACCTCAATCAAGATAAAGTTGTATGGTCAACATGGAGATTTGGACTGTAAGATTTCTTTCTCAGCATATCATGGAGCAAGAAATACTCATATCCTTAAAGATCTGAACATCAAGTAAGGTTGGCTTATAAATACCATCTTGTCTCGAAAACTGAAATATGCTGGCATGGCAAGCACCATGGCAGATTAGAAAGAACAGAAGCAGAAGACATGGTGCAAGGGAAGAAGGCAGGAGCTGACCAGCATGAAGATGGGCATATGATATAAATGACACTTTGGGTAGGAAAGTGAGCTAGGCAGGAGGCAGACTGTGATAAGAATGACGGTCTGCGATGGACCTGCTGCATGACGGCCAGCTCCTGATATATGTTTTTCTGATAGACAGATCAAAGAAGAAGAAGCTTGTGACTTAAAGAGGCATATATAACAAATTAACTGAATACAGAAAGTGCTCTCATTTGTGCTCAAATAGAGGGTGTCAGAAAGAGGGTGATCAAATGTTACATAGAACCTGTTCTGCTGTATGGCAGGGAATCTTGGAATGTCAGTGACAAAATTAGGAAGAATCTGGAAGCAACAGAGATGTGGTTTCTAAGACAAATGTTACGAACACCTTGGACAGCCAGAGTAACTTACAACGATTGCTTGAAAGAAGCTAATGAAAGTATATCTCTACATACAACAGTAAGAAAGAGACAAACACTGTTCTTTGGCCCCAAAATGAGAAGAGAGACATTAGAAAACATCGTGACAACTGGAAAGATCAGTGGAAAAAGGGGTAGAGGCAGACCAAGAGAGATGATGCTGGATGGGCTGAAATAATGGCATGGAGGGATATAAAGAGAGCTGATCCAGGCAACCAGGGATCGTGACCTGTGGAGACGCATGAGCGCCTACAACAGTTGGCAGAGCACATGATGATGACAGAAAGTGCTAAGATGTGGTAATTAACAAAATGTGAATATCCATGACATTTGTACCGGTATGCCCTGTAATCACATGATTTAACCCCTGATCCACCTGAGACAGCAGTGTATAAGTGTCATTTCTACTGAGAAAATCAACAACATCCAGTCCTGCTACTGCTGCATCAGCTTTGAAACCTACAGAAATGACACCACCTGCAGCTGGGTTGGGACCATCAATGCCGTCTGTTCCTGCAGCTAAGAATACAACATTTGTTGGTACAGGTAACTGGCTACTACCATGCACTTTGCCTAGGTTCGGAAATTGATTTTCAAGTTGCAATGCTGCAGCTACTGCCATTTCTTGATTTCTGCCACCGATACCTTTACCTTTCACAATGACAGTGGTCTCCCCTCCTGCAACAATGCACACTCCCTTTTTACCAGATGTTACAGCCTGTTGAGCAAGAACTTGCATTTCCCGTAACTTTTCAGTTGTAATTTTAAACGTATTTACTAACTTTTTTTCTAGATCTGATAGTTCCTCTTTCTGCACAGATTCTTTCAGCCCCAAAGATATGTACTTTGCCAGACTTATATACATCCGACCAACATCTTGAGCTTCACCTTCAACTTGTGTGGACAGCAGGTACGGCAAATAGCCCAGACTAGAACTTCTAGCACATGCTGCCTCACAAGCACTCTTGTTGGAACCAACTAGAACATTCTGCACAAGAGACCAGTTTACATTTTCCCTGTCACCTTCAAGCCGTTTATTGTGTTCTTCCTTCAGCAGTTTGTTCACAGATTGTGGGATGGAGGACCAGATGTTCAACTCATCTAAAACTCGGGTGCTATCTTCAAGGGTGCATGCGTTCTTTACTGTAGGTCCACAAGCAATGAAGTCTAAGGGATCGCCGATTATATCAGACAGAATAAGGGAGATGATCTGAAAAATAGCATTACCATTTGCAGTTATTATGCATTAAAAATATCAATTCTAAATATTATTTGTTACAAATAGAAGCCAAGCAAGAACAAAAAATTAATAAAAGGTGTCTCTTGTGCAAGCTTCGCTTATATCTTCTTCTTCTTTTTGTTCGTCTGTATGATGCAACTGTTGAGAGACATTTTTACCCAGGGAATTGTGGGTAGGCTGAAGAAAGCAAGGCTGGACACTACATCTCTGGGAGCCACCAACTCCGAGATCCCCTGCCAACTCTGTTTAGGTCACAAAAGTGAGCCATTATCCATGGAGCATGACGGGAACGTACGGCAGGAGTCTTGCATGATGGTCTATAAAACCAGCACAGAGAAAGCTGGTACCTGAGGTGAGCAATGGAGAATCTCCTTATAAGGGTCACAAAGGTCTCAACTTTCCCCTCATGCCTGTAACCGAAATCACAGTGTAACGTTTGACTTGAATAAACCTTACACATTTACATCAAACATCATTGATAACTGTACTAATTGAATATATCTAGAAGATTCTTTTTTTTTCTTTTTCAGGTGCATGGTCTGCAAAACACATTCAGAATCAAAATTTCAAAAAGGTCATTTTTTAAAAAGAATTTTACAGGTCAAAAGGGTTAAACCAGAGGCTGATGTCATAAACTCTACACCAGGGCTATTCAGCTGGTGTTGCAGAATCAGGAGTTCAACAAATGATTCATGACAATTACCGCTAAGTCATGTGATTACCTATGCAGATGGCTCTGTGTTGAGAGCAGACGAAGATCATGGGGGTTCATAGAAAAAGCCAATGGACGTTGCTTAGTGCAGCAAAGCCTGGCATATGATAACACAATGTCTAGTTCAAGAATGGAGGTGGAGGCAGTCACTGCAGCCTTCCACTGGCTTGAGAATCAGCTGTACACACATGCCGTAATTGTAACTGACTCACAGAGCATGTTGAGAAAGGTGAAGGCGGACATGCTCTTTACAGAGTGGCAAGCTTCGCTTCAGAAGACCCAGACAATTAGCACTCTTTGGATATTTTCTCCGGGTTATGCTAGTGTATTGGAAAATGAGCAGCCAAGAAGACTGGCCGATTCTGCACCACTTGGTAGGGATTTGATGTATGACAAGCTAGATGTGAACAGTGCAGAGGCACAGACAGATAACTATGGTCTGAGAAGAATGGCGCTGTGAGGAATTGAGTTACCAGAGGATGTGGCTGACATCACACAAGAGAAAGGCAAGACATATAAACAATCAGGCAGTTGCTGGTGCTACCAGAATTGGAACTCTTCACTTGCTGCTGAAGATGGCGATTTAGCGCTTATGGGAGTGTCCCAAGTGCTGTGATGTCTATTCTTAATTCAACATTCAACATTTAGGGTTATTTAACTAATTTTATTTAGGGCCAAAATGCTGATAATTGGGATGGTCACAGGCCAGAGCTCCCAGCTCCAGCACAGAAAGATCAAAACAATTGGCAGTGATCCACAGGCCACTTGCTAGGCCTTCGCGGGCCATATTTGTACCGTGGGCCGCCAAAATAGATCTGCTTTACAAAAACAAAAACATGTGTGAACAAGTCACATATACAGAATGGATTGTTGTTTTATTCCCTAACAACCTCACAGGCCAGAGGTGGCCAGTAATTTTTTAGGTTTGAGGGCTATTTTTAATTTCAGTAATCATGAGTGGTCTATACTGCATTTCCAAAATCTCATTTATATAAACTACAGACTCTATTGTCATTATCATCATCATCTTTTGTGTGCCGTTAGATGTCACACAGGGCTCACATTCGATTCCTCAACTCCGCTCTTTTGCATGCAACTATCTCCATTTTCTGACAAGAAGTTCAGCTCAGCATTTTTAGCCTTTCATAATATTGTTCTTCTCAATGTTACTTTTGGATGTCCTCTTTATCTCAGACCATTTGTTTCCCATTCTATGTTTATTTTGTAATTCTTTGCTCTCAGAGTGTGCAAATATATCTCCACCTCCTTTGTCCTATTGCAATCAATACAGGTATTTGCCCAGACATTTCTCTGATCTCCTTAATTTGTTTAAACTCATTCCATTTTTGTTCATGATTTTTTTTTCTGACATTTACTTTTAAATGGACTTAGTTTTTTTCCATATCTTTGGTGGTTCTCCAACTTTTGCTGGCATATGTTAGAATTAACATAACATTATAAAAAAATTCATAATTTGGTCTTAAGTTGGAGCTCTATATTCTGTTAAAACTTTTAAAGACTTTTTTTTTTTGCTTTGCAAATGTGCATCATAATTTCTTTTACTTTATCTCCTTGAGAGTCAAAATGTCTACCCAAATATGTGAAATGGTCTGTTACTTTACTGGTTTGTTCTCTTGCATGACATCTACATGAGCTGTTGTTGGTATCTTCAATATATTTGTTTTCTCAAAATTTATTTGTAGTCCTATTTTTGATGCTGTAAAATCATCTGTTTTTCATTGCATGTCTTTGTTATTTTCACTTAACAGAACATTATCATCTGCAAAATCCAGATCTTCCAGTTGTCTCTACCCAATCAATGCCAGTATTGCCTTTGCAGCATTTTTTTTCCATTACCCAATCAATGGCCACTCCAAACAACAAGGGCAATAGAATGCAGCCTTGTTTCACTACAGTTTTCACCAAAAAACAGTCACTTAGACCATTTTCAGTGCACACTGCACATTCTGAACCATAATTTAAATTTCTTATAATTTATATTATTTTGGCGGGAATGCTGTAGCATTCCAAAATTTCCCATTGTGAAATTCTATGTAAGGTGTCTAAGGCCTTCTTGAAATCAATAAAATTCAGGATGAAAGGTTGTTGCTTCTCAATTCTTCTAGAACAAGTCTCAGGGTAATTTTTCTGATCCAGGCAACTTCTTCCAGTTTTTAAACCAGCTTGTTCTTCTCTCATGACTGTATCAACTGCCTCTTTAATTCTTTTAAATATTACTTTAAACATTTTTTTGACATAACAGACAGTATGGTAATTCCTCTCCAATTACTGCACTCATTAGGATTCTAAAGGTAGATCCCCCCAAAAAATGTTTTTGATAAAGACATTATGGCACAAAACAGTTGCATGCATCTCTCTCCCCTTGCTGATCTACTTCCCCATGTTGGTTCTGAGGTCCCATTGTTAGGTTAGCTGCGTGTCACTTAAAGGACACTGCAGAACCAACCCCAGGATTTTTGGAGCTGTTGTCGTTTTTCTAGGCAAATTTACATTTAACCTTTTGCCAATACTTTCTCAATGGTCAGCTCTCAATACTACTGTTGAAATCAACACAAGGCGGTCTGCTGCTAAATCACCTGCAGCTTGGATCTAACCTGCACCTTCCACATTAGGAAGCAATACTAAAGGGGGTGGGTGAAGATTGGAATGTATAAATAACCCCTCCCCCCCCCCCCCCCCACCCTCAACAAGTATGTACAAGTTTATGAAAGAGGGATATTTCCTTCGAAGTGTATCTACCTGAGAGGCGAGGAACCAGCAGTCTGCATACAAAAATGCAGGATCTATAAAATGGAGGTGTGTGCAAAATTCAGATTATGGAACAAGACCAAAGTCCAGAAGTGGATGAACAACCAGAAATTGCCGCCAGATTACAGCCGTGAACATGAAGAAGAAGAGAAGTGATCTACAAATAGATCAACATGTCAGCTACCTCTGAACTAGAACTTCAAAAGAAAAAAAAAACCAGCAATGAAAGGGGAGGTATAAACATAAACAAATAGTGTACACTTGATGTTTATGTTTTACAACATTCAACACTTTCCTACCTTTGCAGGCTGTGCCAGTTTGGCTAGACCTCCTCCCTTCAAAATCTCAATTTCCTTTCTCACAGTGTTCATCTGAACAATATTGGCTCCAGATCTGGACATTAACCTGGTCAGTGATAACATGTCCTTGAGGGTCACTGGTGGTTTTGGACTTGGCAGCAATGCTGACCCTCCACCTAATTAGCAAAGAGATTATACAGTTGTTAGAGCATCAGTCCAACAACGCCCAGATTCTAATATCCACAAATCAAAGTTATTCCCAGAGGTTTCCACTCGTAAGAGTAATAGACATATCGCCAACACCATTACAAGCATATCTCCAGCTGGGCTTATAATTGTGTTTCCATAGTGGAGGACACCTATCAAAATGTGTTTTAAATCAGTGGTAGTCATCAGAAAATATAATGAGAAATGTCAAAAATGACCAGACTTGTGACAGTTATGATATGCTCAAAATTGGTGGCAACCCTATTCTGGAACTTTGCTACGCAGATGACACAGTCCTCCTTTTGAACAGCGTAAAGGAAATAGAAAATTTAATATTGTCTGTCCAAAAGCACAGCGAAGAACAAAATCTTTTCTTGAATTTAAAGAAAAGGAAAATAATGTCCACAGATAAAACTGGCGGTCACCCAAAAAAACAAAAACAATTAATGATGAAGAAATTGAAAATGTTACAAACTTTGAATATCTAGGCACGATAATAAACAGCAATGGAGACTGTTTGACAGAAATTAAAAGGAGGATGGCCATAGCAATGCAAAGATTGAACAGCCTTAAAAGTCTATGGTTAAGCACCAGCAAGGAGATCAAAATTTGAATTTTTAGAGCATGCATCTTTCCTGTGGCTACATACGGATGTGAGTCATGGACTATCTCTCAGTCCTTAAGAAAGAGAATAGGGGCCTTTGAGCTGAAATGCTATAGAAAGATTCTCAGAATATCTTGGACAAAGAAGAGGAGAAATACTGAAATATTGAAAGATCTGAACATCAAGGAAGATTGGCTAATTAACAGCATCCTGTCTCAGAAGTTGAAATATTTTGGTCATATCAAACGCCACGACGGATTGGAAGAAATTATAGCAGAAGGCATGGTACCAGGAAGGAAGGACAGGGACAGCGGTGGGAGAACTGACGAGAGACCGAGTTTCTTTCAGGCAGACTGTGATGAGAGCGACGTTCTGCAAAGAACCTGCTACATGATGATGATCGTAGTCATGTACAGCATACTAAATAAATAAAAATGGTTTTAATTATTAAAAAAAAAGTGCTTTTCAGCAATGTATGAAAAAAGTCTGTGGCTGAGGCATTGCGAATGAGCTTCATAATGCCAGGGTACCGGGTTCGATCCCAGCTGTGGACGGTTTGTCTTGTGTTGGTTTTAACAGTGGTACCAAGAGCTGACCGTTCAGAGGCAATGGCAAACTTCTGAACATAAAATATGCCTAGAAAAACTACAAGAGTAATACTGGAGTTGTTTCTGCAACGTCCTGTAAAGGATACAAAACTAACTTACGGGACACCCTGTACTGATTTAAAAAAAAGCAGAAGACTATTTTCCACAAACGGGCACTACGTAGAAGCAGCTGTTGTTTTTTTGTTGTTGTTCGTCCATCATGAGTGATAAAGACCACTTTCATCCAAAGTAGTAATGATCAATGATTATGAGTACGAAGGTGGCTGATGAGTCCAATATAAGCCAGGAAAATTCTTGAGCAGTGTGGACAACAGATGAAAGCAGCAGAAAGTTTGGGATTATCAGTACCATTCTTTCTAGCTGGATGAAAGTGACTTGTGCAAGGACTTGGATTTAAGTAAGGAAGAGTTGCGCAATTCATTGACCTCACTCTTTCACCTGTGTCCACCTTGATCCAATGGCAAGACAGTGTCAAGACGATTGGAAATGGACCTAGGTGCAGTGGATGACCAAGGCGTCTTGAGTGCCCTACCTTGCTCAAAGCTCTTCACAGAGCCTGCTGGTGAACGCCTTCGTGTCTGTTGAACATGCAGCTAGTATCATTATTACTGCAGCTTTTGTTCTTTCTCCTCTTGCTTTTTTCTCATCTGATTTCTCTCTCTCTTTTTTTTTAAGTCTCTGTTTTAATTTACAACATTATTTTTCATGCTTTTTTTTGGCTGACCACAAATGACGTCACAGGACAGTCTGATATTTTAGAGCGTGGTAACAGCGGGTTATCAGTATTTTCTGTGCTTTAGCACCCCTTTCCAATGCCAAGGTTTTCCTGTGTTTACTGAATCCTAACGAAAACTATACACTTAATATACCACCCCCTGAAATATTTGTCCGTGACCTGTGAATTTCCCGTTTGTGGTCGGCCATAAAAAAAAAGTAAATTTTTAAAGATAAAGTTATTATAATAGTGATCTGTATTAGTGACCAAAACTATGGTTAGATGTAAACTAGCACAATAATCGTTGTCAGGAATATCATATGAGAAGACTGGCAACTGTCCCTGGAATCTGACATTTCGATGACCTAGATGTTGCTTTTATTACTTATTTATCAACTGTTCAAAATGTCCATATTATCTTTGTTTTCATCTATTCTATATCTTTTCTTCTTCTTCAGCATTCCGAGCCCTTGAGGTTCATTGCTGCAGATAACACACGCCTCGATTCATCTCTCTGGTTTCATCTTTCCAGTTGGTGACACCAAGTGTTTGCAAGTCTGTCTGGATATTATATTTCCATCGTCTTCTTGGTCTGCCTCGTGGCCTATGACCATTCATCTCCCTTGTGTATACAGTTTTTACTTCTCTGTCATCTGAAGTTTTTGTCCATCTGGACTGTCTATTATATCGAGCGAAAGTTAAATGAATTTAGAGAAAAAACGCTTGAGGAAAATTGCGAACATAAAATGGGAAAAATTCAAAAAGGGTGAAGAAATAAGAGACATGTCTGGGCAGCCACAGGTAACAGCAGTTATAAGACAGAGAAGAGGGCTCTATATTGGACATGTTCTGAGGAGAGACGAACAGATAATCACTAAATTGGCACTGAGATGGGAATCAGATGGATCAGGAAACAATAATGTCAAGAAAAACCCTGGGATGAGCACTGTAAAAAATAAAGTAAAGGACCTTTTTCCATGCCTTTATAGTATAGGGCATATAGGGTTAGACCTACATTTTTATAGACCAAGGCTAGACCTACATTTTTACAGACCAATCAGCACAAGATGGGTAATGTGGTCAGCATCACACCGGCCGCTTTTACTTTCCTGGGACTGCACCCGGTACCCACTCAAGGTTGAGTCGACCTGGGAGTTAAGGTCATTTTTGAAAAATGTCAGGCTCAGCTAGGGAGAGAACCCACGACCTTCCAATTCCGCCGTGAGCATCTAACCGCTATGCCATGGTGACTTCCAAGTAAACAGTGTGGAGGCACAAATAAATTATCACAGGAATGGTGCAGCCAGGAGTTCTGTCTGATGCTCAACACTCAGAGAAGCGATGAGATGACATACAAGAAGACTGTCGCAGGTCCTATCAGAATTAGAACTGTGCGCTTGCTGCTAACGACAGGGAAGGAGGGCTAATGGGAACGTCCCAAGTGTTATGATGTCTGTTCTTAACTCATAACTTGCCTTCTTCTTCTGCCTTTGTAACCCTCAATGGAGCATAGGCCCTAAACCAACTCATGCCAAGTCATTGTATCCTTCGCTATGACATGCAGCTCTCCAAATGTCTTCCCCATCTTTTTTTTTTTAACTTCACTCTCTAGCTCCCTTCTCCATGTATTTGTTGGTCTTCCTTTATTCCTGTGCCCCTGTGGGTTCTAGTGCAAAGACATTCTCGTTATATTGCCCTCAGGTTTTCTCAACAGGTGTCCTATCCAGCTTCAGTTTCTTGTCTTCACCCATTGGTCCTCTGGAATTTGTTCAGTTCTCTCCCAAAGCTCTGCATTAGTGATTCTATCATGCCATTTAATTCCCTCTATTCGGCACAGGCACCAGCACCAGTTAATGAATGTTTCTAGTTTATTAGTAACTTCCTTAGTTGTTCTCCATGTTTCCGCCACAAACAACAGTACTGATTTGACAACAACAAACAAATCATAACTTATAATGAAATGGGAAACTTTTGCTTTAGTTACCTGAAATGAGCACTATCAAAATGTCATCCTCCTTCACTGCTTCAGCTATCTTAATGATCTCTCTGGCTGCCTCATGAGCTGCTTCATCAGGCAGGTTACCTGGAGCTCCTTCCATGACTTTAATACGAGAGTCTGGCTTCACAAGCATGTCTCTGGAATAATGTATGATTATAAACATACAGCCTGTTAAGCTTGACAGTGGAACAGATTTTGACTGTAGCCTAGTTGGTTTTGGGTAAGGATCCCTTTCACTCTCATTCTCTCAGCTTTCATAATATAGAATGAACAATAGTTTATCATTCTCCGAGCTTTCATAACACATCTATAGAATGATTTATAGTTTATCATTCTCCCAGCTTTCATAACACATCTATAGAATGATCTATATTTTATCATGCTTTCATAACACATCTATAGAATGATCTATATTTTATCATGCTTTCATAATACATCTATAGAATGATTTATAGTTTATCATTCTCCCAGCTTTCATAATACATCTATAGAATTTTGACTGTAGCCTAGTTGGTTTTGGGTAAGGATCCCTTTCACTCTCATTCTCTCAGCTTTCAAAAGATATAATGAACAATAGTTTATCATTCTCCCAGCTTTCATAGCACAACTATAGAATGATCTATAGTTTATCATTCTCCCAGCTTTCATAACACATCTATAGAATGATCTATAGTTAATCATTCTCTCAGCTTTCATAATATAGAATGAGCGATAGTTTATCATTCTCCCAGCTTTCATAACATATCTATAGAATGATCTATAGTTTATCATTCTCCCAGCTTTTATAACACATCTATAGAATGATCTATAGTTTATCATTCTCCGAACTTTCATAATATAGAATGAGCGATAGTTTATCATTCTCCCAGCTTTCATAAGACATCTATAGAATGATCTGTAGTTTATCATTCTCCCAGCTTTCATAATATAGAATGAGCGATAGTTTATCATTCTCCCAGCTTTCATAACACATCTATAGAATGATTTATAGTTTATCATTCTCCAAGCTTTCATAATATAGAACGAGCATAGTTTATCATTCTCCCAGCTTTCATAACAAATCTATAGAATAATCTATAGTTTATCATTCTCCGAGCTTTCATAATATAGAATGAGCGATAGTTTATCATTCTCCCAGCTTTCATAACACATCTATAGAATGATCCATAGTTTATCATTCTCCCAGCTTTCATAACACATCTATAGAATGATCTATAGTTTATCATTCTCCCAGCTTTCATAACACATCTATAGAATGATCCATAGTTTATCATTTTCCCAGCTTTCATAACACATCTATAGAATGATCCATAGTTTATCATTCTCCCAGCTTTCATAATATAGAATGAGTGATAGTTTATCATTCTCCCAGCTTTCAAAACACATCTATAGAATGATCCATAGTTTATCATTCTCCCAGCTTTCATAACACATCTATAGAATGATCTATAGTTTATCATTCTTCCAGCTTTCATAACACATCTATAGAATGATCTATAGTTTATCATTCTCCCAGCTTTTATAACTCATCTATAGAATGATCTATAGTTTATCACTCTCCCAGCTTCATAACACATCTATATAATTATCTGTAGTTTATCACTCTCCCAGCTTCATAACACATCTATATAATTATCTGTAGTTTATCATTCCCCCAATTTGAGCATTTATAAATAAAAAAATGATTTTTATAAAAAATCTTTTCCTATGTATTCACAAAGATGAACAGATCTGGTATCAGTGAGACAACAAAACCACGACACTGGGTTACAACCTGGTACTAGTGAGATGACAAAACTACGTCACTGGGCTACAACCTGGTATCAGTGAGATGACAAAACCATGACACTGGGCTACAACCTGGTACCAGTGAGACGACAAAACCATGACACTGGGCTACAGCCTGGTATCAGTAAGAAAGACGACAAAACCATGACACTGGGCTATAACCTGGTATCAGTGAGATGACAAAGGACAGTTTTCCTGTGGGATCAACTTAAGAGATGGGCCAATCTGCAATTTTGATTATTGAATATGTACTCACTGTTTGCCTTCCTCGTTAAACATCTGCTGGATTCCCACAGGGACGCTGATAACCCCTTTAACAATGTGCTCTCCTATAGAATCATCTACAGCCCTGGCCATGCCGATGACTGCCTTCCCAAAGCCTATTACATAGACATTTTTCTGCAGACGGTATTCTGCCTCATCCACTTTCAGAACAGTGCCACTTTGAGAAAGCTTCAGTTTCTGAAACAGTGTGATACAAGCTATATAAAAATGTTAAACTTAAAAAAAAAATTAAATTACTACTTATTCTGCTTTCATTCTTAGGAGGGTATTTAACATGTTCTGTTGTGGTTTACTGTAAAGCTGTAATATCTGCAGCTTTTAGCCTTACATCTCTGATTTCAGCAAGCCATTAATTAGTCGCCTTTGACTGCATGTTTATGTTATGTTATCATAGTCACCATCCTTGCACACTGGGCATTTCCATGGGTGCTTAGCACATTGGGCATTCCCATAGGTACTCATTCCTCTGATCTAGGAGCTATTCTAAGGTACCCGTACTTCTCATGAGAAGTTGGTTATAATGTCTCCTATCTCCACCTGGTGGGCAACACAGACATGCTTCACCATGATTTACTCCCATGCAATACCATTGTGTGAGTGTCAGAGATCCGTCATTATTCACTAATGCAGTCCGTACAGCGCTGATGATATCTGCTCTGTTCATGTTTCTTCCTGCATGCTTGCCAGCTGCTCTGCTTGCTCGTTACTTTTTACACCGGCATGAACAGGTGTGTAAATCCAGGTGAAGAAGGTTAAGTGCAACTTTCAAATGCTTTTTACCCATTCAGAGCTTACATAAAAAGATCCTCAACATTAGCATACAACTCTAATACTTATATAAAAATCCATACCTACATCAATGTACGTTAGTCACAAATTAGAACAAATCAGTCATGCAAAATATGTGGGATCCATTGTAAGTGACATAGGGTGCAGACCAGAATCATGTCCAGGATTTCAAAGACAACATCAGTCCTTGCCAAACAGCAAATATTACAGAGATCCCCCCTAAAAAAAATTTCATTTGAAACTAAGCTTTGACTTCTCAGAACACTAGCTATTAGTACATTTACATTTGTCTGTGAAACTTGGACCTTAACAGCTGAACTCGAATGTAAGATACAAGCATTGGTTGGAAATGTGATCTTTCAGAAGATACTTGGTATATCATAAAGAGACCACATCACAAATGATGAGGTTCGCCGTATAATTATCCAGCACACTGGCAACTTTGAACCTCTTTGATGTGGTCAGTATTACGCCGGCCGCCTTCACTTTCCAGGGACTGCACCCGGTACCCACTCAAGGCTGGGTCGACCTGGGAGCCAAGGTCATTTTTGAAAAAAGTCCGGCTCCACCAGAAAGCAAACCCACGACCTTCCGATCCATGCGAGCGTCTAGCCGCTCGGCCAAGGCGACCCTCCAAGTAGAAGAGGCAGACCAAAAAACACCTGGATACAGAATTTGACTGACTGGACAGGCCTTAGCATGCAACCATGAAGTCCATAGCATCTGACCGCCAAAGGTGGGGGAAGCTGATCAGACAGTCAATAGACTCTGGTGACCCAACAACACACCTTGTTATGGGATGATCATGATGAATACTTATAAATGATAACATGTCCTACAGTATGACTATTACAAACTACAGGGTCTGTAGCAAACCTTTAAAACAAGGGAAGCCCTCAGGTAAATAAGAAACACTGGTGTAGAAAAGGTAATAGTAAAATCTAACCAATCATAAAAAAGTCTACAGGACTTGGCATGAACTGGCTGGGGGAGACTTGGCATAAACTGGTTAGGGGAGACCTGGCATAAACTGGCTGAGTGAGACTTGGCATTAACTGGTTGGGGGAAATTTAGCATTAACTGGTTGGGGGAGACTTAGCATGAACTGGCTGAGGGAGATCTGGAATGAACTGGGGGGGGGGGGGGACCTGGCATGAACTGGTTGGGGGAGATTTGGCATGAACTGGTTTGGGAAGACCTGGCATGAACTGGTTTGGGGAGACCTGGCATGAACTGGTTGGGGGAGACTTGGCATGAACTGGCCGAGGGAGATTTGGCATGAACTGGTTGGGGGAGACTTAGCATGAACTGGCTGAGGGAGATTTGTCATGAACTGGTTTGGGGAGATTTGGCATGAACTGGTTGGAGGAGATTCGGCATGAACTGCCGAGGAAGACTTGGCATGAACTGGTTGGGGGAGACTTGGCATGAACTGGTTTGGCATGAACTGGTTGGGGAAGAGCTGGCATAAACGGCTGAGGGAGACTTAGCATGAACTGCATGGGAGACTTGGTGATCTGGGGGGGAGACTTGGCATGAACTGGTTGGGTAAGACCTGATGGGTTGGGGTAGACTTTGGCATAAACATAGAGACTTGGCATAAACTGGTTGGGGGAGGCATGAATGGGGAAGACTTGGCATGAATGGTTTTGGGGGAGACTTGAACTGGTTGGAGACTTGGCATGAACTGGACGGAAGACTTGGCATGAACTGGATGAGGGAGACCTGGCATGAACTGGCTGAAGGGAGACTTGGCATGAACTGGATTGGAGACTTGGCATGAATTGGTTTGGGGTAGACTTGGCATGAACTGGTTTGGGTGGGGGGGCATGAACTGGGTTTGGGTGTATGAACTGGGGTATGAACGGGTTGGGGAAGAGCTGGCATAAACTGGCTGAGGGAGACTTAGCATGAACTGGTTCAGGGGAGACTTGGCATGATCTGGTTTGGGGGGAGACTTGGCATGAACTGGTTGGGTAAGACCTGGCATGAACTGGTTGGGTAAGACTTGGCATAAACTGGCTGATAGAGACTTGGCATAAACTGGTTGGGGGAGACTTGGCATGAATGGTTTTGGGGGAGACTTGGCATGAATGGTTTTGGGGGAGACTTGGCATGAACTGGCTGAGGGAGACCTGGCATGAACTGGTTTGGGGAAGACTTGGCATGAATTGGACGAGGGAGACCTGGCATGAACTGGATGAGGGAGACCTGGCATGAACTGGCTGAGGGAATGACTGGCATGAATTGGATTATGTAGACTTGGCATGAACTGGTTTGGGGGGGACTTGGCATGATCTGGTTTGTTTAAGACCTGGCCATGAAACTGGTGGGGATAGGGGAGATTCAGCATGAATAGGTTGGGAGAGACTTGGCATGAACTGGCTGAGGGAGATTTGACATGAACTGGTTTGGGGGAGACTTGGCATGAACTGGTTTTGGGGGAGACTTGGCATGAACTGGTTTTGGGAGACTTGGCATTAACTGGTTTGGGGGAGACTTGGCATGAACTGGATGAGGAAGACCTGGAATGAACTGGTTTGGGGGAGACCTGGCATGAACTGGATGAGGGAGACCTGGCATGAACTGGTTTGGGGGAGAGCTGACATGAACTGGCTGAGGGAGAGCTGGCATGAACTGGTTTGGGGAAGACTTGGCATGAATTGGACGAGGGAGACCTGGCATGAACTGGATGAGGGAGACCTGGCATGAACTGGCTGAGGGAGACTTGGCATGAATTGGATTATGTAGACTTGGCATGAACTGGTTTGGGGGAGACTTGGCATGAACTGGTTTGGGTGGGGGGGGGTGGGTGGTATGAACTGGTTGGGGAAGAGCTGGCATAAACTGGCTGAGGGAGACTTAGCATGAACTGGTTCAGGGGAGACTTGGCATGATCTGGTTTGGGGGAGACTTGGCATGAACTGGTTGGGTAAGACCTGGCATGAACTGGTTGGGTAAGACTTGGCATAAACTGGCTGATAGAGACTTGGCATAAACTGGTTGGGGGAGACTTGGCATGAATGGTTTTGGGGGAGACTTGGCATGAATGGTTTTGGGGGAGACTTGGCATGAACTGGCTGAGGGAGACCTGGCATGAACTGGTTTGGGGAAGACTTGGCATGAATTGGACGAGGGAGACCTGGCATGAACTGGATGAGGGAGACCTGGCATGAACTGGCTGAGGGAGACTTGGCATGAATTGGATTATGTAGACTTGGCATGAACTGGTTTGGGGGGGACTTGGCATGAAGTGGTTAGGGGAGATTCAGCATGAATAGGTTGGGAGAGACTTGGCATGAACTGGCTGAGGGAGATTTGACATGAACTGGTTTGGGGGAGACTTGGCATGAACTGGTTTTGGGGGAGACTTGGCATGAACTGGTTTTGGGAGACTTGGCATGAACTGGTTTGGGGGAGACTTGGCATGAACTGGATGAGGAAGACCTGGAATGAACTGGTTTGGGGGAGACCTGGCATGAACTGGATGAGGGAGACCTGGCATGAACTGGTTTGGGGGAGAGCTGACATGAACTGGATGAGGGAGACCTGGCATGAACTGCCTGAGGGAGACTTGGCATGAAGTGGTTGGGGGGGGGGGGGGGGATTTGGCATGAACTGGCTTGGGGAGACTAGGCATGAACTAGCTGGGGAGGACTTGGCATGAAGTGGTTAATAGCTTTTGTTCTAGTGGCAGATCAAAGACAGAGACTTAGCCTGAACTGTTTGAAGCCTTATGTTCTAGTGGGAGATACAAGACAGAGAATTGGCATGAATAAGTTGAGGGCTTTTGTTCTAGGTGTTATTCTCTGATGACCTGTAAGACTGGCCTAATTCCTAGCTTTCGTCTGATTTCGTATTCTGTCTTTTCTTGAAAAAACAACACATATGTTAAAAGAAAATACAATCTATTTTTATTAAATGCCACTCATATACATAACTGGAGGTGGAGGTTAGAAACCACCACCTCCGATACACACCACCCATTTCACCCCCCCCCCCCCCTCCCCTCCAAAAAAATGACCTACTTACATTTCTAACCAAATGATGTGGAAGAACTGACTCAACAGCTTCGTCGAATATTTTCCTGGCATCATTCATCAACTGGACATCATCATCTGAGACAGCAGGTCCTCCGTGGGCAGTTGATGGACACTTGACATGATGAAAACCTGTTGCAGGATGCTCTGTGTCAGCCATGTTGCTCCGACTGTTGTCTACAGTTGGCTGATTACCAGCAGCAGACCACTGATTAACAGTTGTTGAATACTGGACTACTAGTGGATGACTAAGATTCTCTTTTATCCTCAGCAACTTTCTTGAAATCCCATACAGGTTGCCAGAAATGAGACAGCGATTAACAGGTGTGATTTGGTAGTTATTTTTCCCCAGATGAAAATATTCTTTCTTCAGCTGTTGACCTGTTAAGGAATATTTGCTTATACTTCTCTGATGATGAACTTTTGCATTTAGAAACTTGTTTACAGAATGGTGAATACTTTTTGCTGGAAGTAAATCTTTTGCTACAGAGTCTAGTTTATCTGACCGCTGTTCTTTTATGTTAGAATTATTTTTGGATACACCTTGCTCATACTGTACTCTCAAACAGAAGAGCTGCTGAGGCATCAGTTTTCTGCTTCCACAGCTACGTTTAATTTGCTTCTTAGAAGTGAGAATTACATTATATCTAAAGAGAGACATCACTTTGATTAGTACAAATATGTAACTCTTCATAAAAAGAAGTTTGGAAATGCTTCTTTTGCTTTTGATTGCAGCATAAAAATCCTGGCATAGGTTCAAATAAATATTAGGTCCAAGCCTGATTACAGCAATGAACCCAAGAAGTGCTGCTTTACCGCATTCTGAAATTATCAAATAAACCAAAAAAAATTATTCTATATAGTTAATTTTGCTATAAAATAACAGCTTCATATGAAAATAAATAATTTCATTCTTTCACCCTGTGAATGCCACAAACTTTTTTTTAAAGTAGCATAATTTCTGGAAAAAATCCTTAAAATAAAAACAACCATCCTGATTAAGTAATACATAATAATACATATTATAATAATGCATAATTCATATAGAGATCACCCTATACAGCTTTATCCTCATCTACCATCACAGACATGTACCAACTTATGTGCACATTTCTAACCTCTTCAACCCTATGATATAGAATTTATTGAAAGAATTCTTTGTACAGCTACATAATTATCCACCCTTGGGTGTATATATCTCTTTGACAGCACTGACCACTTCTACCCTTGGGTGCAGAAGTCAGACATTAATTTGTCAGGACTTTTTCTTCTCCTTCTTTGCGTTTACCAGCTGTAAACTCTGGCAGAAAGTTCTGGTTGTTCATCCACCTCTGGACTTAAATCTTGTTCCAGAACATCTATTTTACATATCTGACTTATTTGTATGCAGTTTGTTGTTTGGTTCCTTGCCTCTCAAGCAGATGCACTTTGACTTCCAAAGAAACCCTAAATTAGTCGACTCTTATGACATGCTTACTGGGGAGCCAGTAGGTCTATTCTTGTTTTCTCCTCAATGGAGCCCTGGAATCCTTACAGGGAATTTGTCAAGATAAACTTGCACAAGAGACATATATATATATATATATATATATATATCTAAGCACCTGACGAGGGGACAGTCCTGAATGGCTAAAGCAGAACCAGCTGTGGGGTAAAAAATATGACATGCCAGGCAACTTCTACAGGGTACTCTGAGCATGGAGACACTGAGATAGCTGCTGTATTTTAGGACAGAGCACTTGAATGTAAAAATTATGAATTGACATCACAGCACTCAAAACACTCCCACAAGTGCTTCATCTTCATCTTCAGCAGCAAGTGAAGAGTTCCAATTTCAATTGCACCAGTGGCCGTCTGATTGTATATCCGTCTCCTTCTTCCCCTGAGTGTAGAGCGTCGGCCACATTTCCTGGTAACTCCTCTCAGCGCCATTCTCCTCAAACTGTAATGATTTATCGATGCATCCGCACTGTTAACTCACTCCCAAAGGCCCTCACAATATCTAGCCTGTCATACATAAATTCACCAACAAGTGGTGCAGAGCCAGCCAGTCTATCTGCCTGCTCATTTCCCATCACACCTGGCTGTTGTCAGGGGCCCTCATTTAACCTATTGATTAGGGTTTCAGGTGATTCTCATCCGAATGGTGGCACTTTGTGTCACCAACTGTTTATTGCTCATTGTGTGGTCCCTGTGGGGTTGAACTTCATTCATTCATCCAGACTTGCTAAAAATGGAATGAAGGAGAAACAAGACACCTATCCATTGTCGTTACCAGAAATTAGAACACCTATCCAGGAGAAATACAAGGAATTGTGTAGAGAAAAAACTAACAGTAAACATCCACAAGACCCCATCAACAGAAAACAACACACAATAATTTTCCATCTACGAACAGGACACTGCAGGCTCAACTACCACATGCATAAAAAAAAAAAAGATTGTACAGTTCCCACAGTGTGCATGTTAAACACCTGAGCACATTCTGAAGACCTGCCCTTTCTACCTACAACTTCAAAAAGACATATGGCTTTAAAAGGAAAGTGTGTAGAGCAAGCTATAGGGGACCATGAAGGACCTGCTACTGACATGTGAGTTCACAGAGGCAACCCACCAGCTGGTCTGATCTGAGCATAGGAAACCGAATGCAAAGAAGAAGAAGATCCAGACATGGACAAGACATAACCACCATGGCTAGTGTACATAACTCTCAAATCTGCTGAGTGAGACAGAGCAAGTATGGCTTTGCCCTGCATGCAATATCGGTAATGTTAATTAACTCTGTGTGGGTTCGGGGGCCCTATTATAGGGAAAACAAGAATAGACCCACTGCCTATCCAAAAGCATGTTGTAAGAGCCGACTAATTTAGAGCTTCCTTCGAATTGGGAATGTATCTGCCTGAGAGGCAAGGAACCAGCAGTCTGGTTGCTGACAAATGAGTCAGATCTGTAAAACAGATGTACATGCAACACTCAGTTTGTGGAACAGGACTGCAGTCCAGAAGTGGACGAACAACCAGAACTTTCTACTGGAGTTTACAGCTGGTGAACGTGAAAAAGAAGAAGAAGAAGTAATGTTAACAAACAGCATGTAAAACTTCTAAATGTACCAAACATACAAGATTACTTACACAAGAGGGGAAAAATGTCAGCAACCAACCACTTTAAATAAAACCAACTCTTAACAAAGAGCTCCACGCCAATCAAATAAGAAAGACATGTCTAGCTGTTTCTATCTCTAGCTGTTTTAAACAAGAGAGAATTTAGACCACTTGCATAATTAAAGTCCAAGGGTACTTTGACACACTTCCCAACCTTTAGCCTAGTTTTCTCTGATACTAACATAAAACTTCTGAACCTATGTACCTGTTATCTATTATCTTAGATTTGTGTGTAATCAAAAGGTCCCACTGTGTTTTATCTTTTTGCCTTACTGTGTTTGGAGAAAGAGAATTTTCTACTGCTATAACTGGACAATAACAATGTCTCTATCCACACTGCTCCTTTAACAAGAAGCCATAAAATTTGACTGATTTGTTGATTAATTAGTCAAAGTCAGTGCATTAGTCTGAGAGGCAAGGAACCAACAGTCTGCGTACAAATAAGACAGATCTGTAAAATGGATGTGCACAAGTTCTGGAACAAGACGGAAGTCCAGAAGTGGATAAACATCAGAACTATCCACAGGAGTTTACAGCTGGTAAATGTGAAGAAAAAGAAGAACGATGTCTCTACTGTTACTTGTGAGCAATGACAAAAAACAAAATGGGGAGCTATAAACTATTTCAGCTAAAGTTAGATTTTGCTTTAACACTTTTCTATCAGAAAGAGTGTGCATTTTAGAGTAACACTTTTAGTCTCAAAGAATGGAAATACAAGAGTTATGCAACATACTTCTATAAATTAACAACAGAAGACTGAGTTAAAATAACAGAGGTAGGAGAAACTAAAAACAACATAAAACATTTACACAGAAACTAATAAACATATAATGAGTTTCTTGGCGCTGAGAAAGTTAACCCTATTTTCCCAAGAAAGCTAAATCTAGTCACTTGTGACACAGCCTATAAATGCCAAAATATTGCTAATTCTGCAGTGACCTGTTCTTAAAAAGCATTGTTAAAAGCCACTGGTTTTACATGCACATGCAAAATGTTTAGGAGGCCCGATCTGAATATACTACTTAAAAATAGCATTTACAGGGGTTTCCTTGTGAATCCAATAACTTTTTAACAGCCAGAGTGATCAAAAATGTTCCCATAAACCTCAGGGATAGAGGTCACAGGGTTATGGCAGGAGTCACCTGATACATATTTATGTCATTCGGCTGCATGCATGGCAGTCACTATAAATCTGCAACCATGACCAGACTGCAAGAACAGACAAGAGCACGATGTAGGAAGCACACACACACCAAAAAAAAAAAGGAATAAAAAACCAACAAGGAAATGGTGTCATCAGTACTACTTGCTGAGGGATTTACTGAGGAGGCAATCCGAGCAATTATCGACTGAATGGTTCAATGAGCAATGAGGATAATCTGTCGCCAAGCAATTTTCGACTGAATGGTTCAATGAGCAATGAGGATAATCTGTTGCCGAGCAATTATCGGCTCAATGGTTCAATAAGCAATGAGGATAATCTGTTGCCGAGCAATTATCGGCTCAATGGTTCAATGAGCAATGAGGATAATCTGTTGCCGAGCAATTATCGACTCAATGGTTCAATGCGCAATGAGGATAATCTGTCGCCGAGCAATTTTCATGAAAATTTTCACATCTAACCCTACCCCTAACCCTACGCAACCCTACACGCAATACGCAGCCCTACACGCAACCGTAGGATGATGATAGACACCCTACGCAGCCCTACACGCAACCGTATGATGATAGGTTACCCTTGACGCAACCGTACGCAACCCTACACACACCCGGATGATGATAGGTAAGTATGTCATTTGATTCGTGACTTTTTCCGCTACTTGTTTTGAGTGCGGCCAAGGGAGAGAACTCTCACTAAGCCGACCGAAGCCGTCCCACTTGCGTCCAAATGTGCTAGGAGAGCCGAAGATTTCAATAATTTCAAGTGTTTACTAAGTAAATAACGCGAGTCTATGTCAGATTTAAGAAAACTGCAATCTAATAACCGCTAAACCACATCCAACGACTAACATTACGCAAATACATTTAAAATAAGTAAACAAACTCAGAGGTATTGGTTGGCACTTATAGAAATGTTGACGGTGAAATAAAACACAGCCAAACCATTAGTCACATGATTCAGAATAGGGGAGTTTGTATACTTTATTTACTGGATTGGAACTGGAAATATTAATTTCTTTTTCACCTTGGAAGAATGGATAGAAGAATCAACATATGTTGTGCGAAAGCATTATGCTACATTGACACCGCTTCTGACGCATAGAGAGATACCCCTGTATACCTCTCAAGCAAATCTCATAAGAAAGTTTTTTTTTTATTGGAGGGGGGGGGGGGAGAAGAGGGGGGACATTGTGCTACCAGTGCCAGACATGGACCCTTACTGCAACTAATGATGTTTTTAGATATTTTTTGTCACTGAACAACAGAGATGAGATTTCTTAGGAGAGCTGCCGGTGTGACAAGAAGAAATCAAACCAGGAATAAAGAAATTTGAAGAATAAAAATATGACTGAAAACAGTCTTACAATTCATT